CCCTCCCTTTCAGACTCTCTGTCTAGACAAGCTAAGCTCCCTTCATGATTTTAACCCAGGACCCAGAGACCCTCACCTCCAGTTCTCTACCTCTATGTGCCATCCTTCGTGGACTGTAATGGTCTGGCCTCTGAGCAGTAGCAACAAACAAGACAGGCCGAGTGTCTGACACACCCAGACATGGTACAGGCGGTGCCGACCCTTTATAGTGAAAACAAAAGCTTCCTTTCCCCCAGAGCTCTCCTCCACCGCTTGGGCTCCTCCGTCCAGTCAGTTGGCCAGTGCCCACTCTTACCCCTACTCTTCTGCACCCTTCATCCATCCATAGCAATCCCTAAATCCTAATTATTTTGTTTCCTAGATATTTCTCAAATCAACCTCTTCTTCCCCAACACCTCTCCCCAGTAGCTACCACAAGAGATCTTTTTAACACATGACACACAATTTCAACAGGAAGAGGGAACGCTGAATAGGGCAGGGATTGTGGTTATTGCTAAGTGCCTTCGAGTCGGTTCCTGCTCAGCGACCCTATATAGGGTTTCTGAGGAGAAACTGGTGGGTTAGAACTGCTGACCTTATGGTTCACAGTCCAGTGCCGATCCTACAGCACCACACCAGGAGTCCAAAGCCGGTGTGGGTAAGCTTTTTTTCTGCCAAAATTTATAACATCGTTCACAGGTCATACAAAATTATCAATTTAAAAATAAGCCTGCTATATGCGGTGTTGGGGTCAATGCATTGGACTGCAAGGTCAGTTTGAACTGCAAGGTCAATGGTTCAAGCTCACTAGCCACTCCTTGGAAACCCTATACAGAGTTGCTATGAGTTGGAACTGACTCAACAGCATTTAACAACAACAACATATTTGATCAGATATTTAACTCATCCCTAATGTGATGGCTGGGACTGTGGTTGCCTTAGCAGGACCAGACCAAATGATCTCTTGGGCCTTATAGGGTCTGGAGGCTGGATGGTCCCCACCCCTGAAGTAGAGGATTGGACAGGGGAGAGAGGAGGAGAGCTAGAAAGGAGGACTGAAGCAGGACAAGAGACTGTGCTAAGGCCTTCAGGCAGGAGGTAGGTGGGACTGGAGGAAGGCAAGGTGGCTGGAGTTGAGAGAGCAAGGGGTCAGCAGGAGGATGATACAGAGAGGAAGCAGGCCAGGCTCTGGTGGTGTGGGGCTGCAACCGTATCCTTGATGTGCTGGGAAAGGCAGGGCAGGGGCTTAAGCAGGGAAGTGATTTACCCATGACAGAGGGAAATCAGAACACAGGACCAAAGTCACGCCCAAAGGACAATACAGAATGTGGGAGACACCCCGCCTCCCCCAGCACTTCCTGCAGCACTCCTTCCCAAAGCTGCTCACACTGAGCTGTAGAACACCTGTCTGATGCTCACAGGTGTGGCTGGAAGGAGTTGCTTCTGGACCCTTGTTCCTCCTGTTACGGCAACTCACAGATGAAAGCTCTCCTCATAGGGCCAAGCTCTGTCATCCGATGGTCCCATCCACCACTCCACCACAGTTCACAGCCCTCCCTGGTGGACAGTGCCCCTACAAGGAGCTCAGGGAGGGAGGACCAGCCCAGGCTTTGAGTTGGGCAGAGATCCACCTCCCTCCTTTCTGTACCATAATACCCCAGGCCCCTCTAAGTTCCGTATCAGTACCACAGAGATAATGTTTTCTTTGAAGGATATAAAGAGGAACAAATGAGAATGTAAGGGGGTTGGGAACTGTCATGGGAAACAGCAGAGTTTGAAACCCAGTGACTGGGGTTCGAAGCCCAGCTCAAGTACTTAAACTCTGTGGAATCTCAGGGAAGGTGCCTAACCTCTCTGCGTTTTCTAAGTCGGGCATGTTTGAGAAACACCCAGTAAAAACTCAGCAAGGAGCAGGAGAGGAAAAGAGGCCAGGCAGAAACCTGGGTGTTGTAGGACCATGGAAGCGCTGTGCAGACTTGGGCTGGAGAGTTTTGAGCATGCACTGAGTTGACTGAACTCTGAAGACAGTTGTTCTGAGTACATGGGTGTGTAGACAGTGGCTGGGGGACACTGGACAAGTGAACAGTGGGGGTGGCTTAGACCAGGGTGCAGATGGTGCGGGGGCTGGGGAGGGGCAGCCGAGTGTGCTTTGTAAGAAGAGCCGGCAAGTTTGTGAGAAAGAGGCCAGAGACACCCGAGAGAGCAGGATCATGGGAGCTGAGGAAGGAGAAACGAGCAGAGCAGAGTCCACTGGGGTGGGCTAGGTTCCACAGACAGAGAGGGGCTGCTAGAAGTGGCCACGGTGTGTGTGTGGGTCCCCGGCCAGCCACTCCCGTCTCCACTCTGACAGCCCTACATCCCATGTAGAAGTCTTCAGACGGGTGTTCACACGGGGCTCCCTGGTCCCCTGTCTGCTCACCTAGAGACCAAGGCCAGCCAGCACTGCCTCTCCCCTTCAGGCCCTGAGTCAGCTCTGAGATGCAGCGGTGCCATAGGAAACCAAAAAAACGAACGCAGCTACCCCACGTGGCTCCTCCTTCCCCTACCCCACCCTGGACACTCCCACCTTGTTGTTGCCACTAATGAGCGTTCTATGACCCTTAAAGGAGCACTCAGAGATTACATGCCATCTTGCTACCTGATAATCCACCCTAACGACCTCATAGCGGCACAATAATTGATTGCTGATGAGGGCAAAGGACAAGATGCTAAGTCAGCTGGGGAGGTTTCTCTCCCACTTAGTCAGAGCCTTAATATTGTGTCTAATAATAATAATGCCACTAAGTGCCATTTATAGAACTGAGGTCAACTTCGTGTTACTTGACCTAAGCCTCTACCTGGCAGGAGTAATGATTAGGAGCTTGGGCTCTCGAGCCAGATCTTGTGGTTCCAGACTCAACCCTGTGCTTACTAAGCAAGCTGCCGTACCTATCTATAACTCAGTTTCCTCCCCTTTAAATGAGTTCTGGTGTGGCGCTGCTGGACTGCAAGGTCGGCTTGAACTGCAAAAAAGCCCTACACAGGGTTGCTATGACTCGTTGACACTTCACAACAACAACACTAGTACCTACCTCACAAGTTGTCAAGAGAATTCAGTAAATTAACTCAAGGGAGACACTGGGAACAGTACTGGGCACACAGTATATGGCTAAATAGAAATGAAATAAACTGGGCTTCCTAGGGCCTAAGTAGGATAAGATGGAGCAAACTATTTGCCAGAACTCTCTCAGGGAGCTGGAAGAGATGTTCCTGCAAGTTGAGGGAAAATACCCTAGGATTAGGAGGTCTGGTAATGAGTGGTTACGAATCGGGCTGCTAACCTCAGAGTCAACAGTTGGAAAGCACCAGCTGTTCTGCGGGAGAAAGATGAGGCTTTCTGCTCTTGTAAACATATACAGCCTCGGGAAACCTGTGCAGGGTTACGATGAGTCAGAACTGACTCCACAGTACATAACCAGCTCCCTAGGATTGCTAGCTTCCTCTTTTTTGGTGAAAATTTACATGGCAGTTAAGGTTCCCATCCAACAATTTCTACACAAATTGTTCAGGGAGATTGGTTACATCCTTCACAGTGTGTGGACATTCTCATGACTCCCAGTCTGGTTCTGTTTCATCAATTTCTCTGCCCCCATTACATTCTCAGCTCTGGTCTCACAGAGATGATTTCCTAAAGATGCACGGTTTTCATGATTCTATGAGTCAATCTGTCAATTTGCTAAAAACGTGAACTCAGGGCCTTGCTTTGGTTCAAGGTTTAAAGAGTAAGAGTCACAGTCTCAGGGAGCCTTCCTGTCTCAACCAGTCTGGTGGCGGTGGTGGCGGTGTGCTGTGGAGTCAGTTCTGACTCACAGCAACCCTGTACAGGGTTTCCGAGGCTGTAAATTTTTATGGGAGCAGAAAGCCTCATCTTTCTCCCGTGGAACAGCTGGTAGTTTCGAACTGCTGACCTTGAGGTTAGCAACCTGACTCATAACCACTACGCTACCAGAGCCCCTTCGACCTGTCTAGTAGGTCAGTGTCTTTTGTTTGGCTGTTTTTAGGAATTTGAGTCCAGTCCACATTCTACTGGGTCCATCTATTGTAGTCCTGCTCAGAACACCTACCTCTGTTCAGAGAAGTCTGTGTCTGGATAACTCGGGGGAATCTGGTTATTGGATATTATGGAGCAGGGGGTTCAAGTTTGGGTCTAGAACTGAGTTGCTGAATACGAGGCAGAGGCTAAATCATTCCATCTCAATGTAAGTGTTGAGCAAACAAGTGAGGGACACTGACGGGGGCGGGGCAGGGTGCCAGGAGGGCCCCCATCTCCCAACCAGCTCTGGTGGAAGGCCTTGTTCTTACAAGTCTGGGGAGCTGGGGCCTCTTTTAGCCTCCAGCATGTGGTGAGAACTGAGGCAGCCTGTGTGTCCTCATTTGGAATACAGACATTTTGGTCAAGGACTGGGGAACCACTTCTGCATGGCACCTAGCAGTCAGTACAAAAGCCTGGAGACAGGGAGGGTCAGACAGCTCTCTTGGTTCTCCTACTACAGACTGCTGTGGCCTTGAACAGCTGTGTTCACTTCTCTGAGCCCATTTCTCCTCAGTAAAGTGGGGATGGCAGTACACTTCAGCTCGGGCCGTAGAGGGATCCTGTGAACTGAGTAGAGGATGCTGAGTAAACGGTACACAGCATCCCAAGTGTCACCTGCCAACATCCAGTGACTGACTCGACTCTGGGAACCACCATTGCGCCTATGTGTGTGCATGTGTGGGTGTGTACACGAACGTGCAGGGGCAGACAGGCGGAAGCTTGCGCTTGGCTCACTGTCTGCAGGAAGACCTGGGTCAACAGAGGAACCGAAGGAAAAGGAGTTGGGCTCAATGTTGAGGTCTTCTCATCTCCCACAGAACCACCTTCTAGCCAGGAGCTGGCTTGAACCCCATAGGAAAACAAACAGGAATAGCAACTCTGGAATCTTTGAGAGACCCCTGAATACCACCCAGATCCCGGGAAGGAAGCCTATACCCTCTATACTTACTTGCCGTAGTATAAGATGGTTTCAGGCTTGATGGAACCGTCTAGGTGGACATGGAGTTCCACCTGCGAGGGGGCAGAGAGGGAGAGAGACTGAGTATTCCATGAATGCCTAAAGGACCTTTCCGAGGGATGATTCTATAACAATTAACCACCACTTACCACCCTTATCACGCACACAGTATCAACTCTCTGCACACACCATCTTGTTTAATCATTAGGGTAGGGTTCAACGATAAGCTCTATTGCTTTCAAAACCAGGTTAAATAATGTGTGCAAGGTCACACAGCAAGTAATGGAAGGAAGAACCCAGCCCAGCGCCTTTGTTCTTAATCACAGGTGATAAATGGCAGACCAGAATTCTAACCCAAGCCCAATCTTAAAGCTTGTGCTCTAAACCACAAGACCTGCCACAAAGGGCAGCCATGGAACTGTGGGAACCACTGACCCCGGGCCACCAAGCAGGCAGGTCTTGCTCTCAAATGGTTCACTAAACAAAACCCAGTTTAAACAATAAGGACTTCCTTAAATTGTTCTGTAGTTTAAAATCAGGATTCCTTTACAAAGCAGGTGGGACTTCAGCATAGTCATTCAGGAGTTGAAAGTAGGTAATATAGGATCTTTCTAGAAGTCTGGGAAAGGGGACAAGACATGAATGCATGGCCAACCTCTCCTATGTGCTTGACCTCATGAACACTGTACACACAGAATTGGAGAGCTGGGACTGTGGAGACAGTATATGAGGACTACCCTCCCAGCTATCCCTCCGGTCGTGTGGATGAGACACCATATTTCTCGGAGCCTCAGGGCCCTTGTGATGCGATTGATGGCTTTTATGTGGCCTCACCATGGTCTTACAACTCTCACTAAAATGACTGGGTGGGACTATGCTTATGGCCCACCAAGAGAATGGGATACCTTACTAATAATGTAAATAAGGTACATGGCACCCTTGTGGGGATCAGACCATGCAAATAAGGTATATGGAACCCTCCGGAGAGGACTGGTCAGTTTTTCCATCTCACAAGGCTTAAAATGAGCCATTCCAGAGATGAGAAAGAGGCACCTGGTTACTACCAACAAGAGAAGATGGTGGTGGGTCATATCCTTTGGACCCAGGGTTGCCGCACTGAAAACCTCATAGATCCAGGAGACAAGAGAGAGAGGGAGCCGTAATACCAGAGATGGTGAGAGACCACGAGAAGCAGCTGTAGAGAAATGGTGGGAACAGAGGCAACAGAACCAGGACACCAGCCAGAAACAGCGAGCTGGGCTTCCTGGCCCATGGCGCTCGAGCTGACAGGCTTTGGGCAGGAAGCTTGCTGGCAGAGTGGGGGTGCCTCTGGGCACCTGGCAAGGTTAAAGAGCAGGGAAGAAGCCAGGATGGTTCGAAAGACCCAAGGGGCCAAAGGGCCGCAGACCAAAGAAAGGTCCACCTCGGGGTGCCTCTGAGAAGATGCTGTTCTGACTGGAGAACCATGTTCTGCCTGAGTCATACCTGATCCTGACCTGTAACCTGTTACTTCTCTAACCCTTGATGATGCTTTAGGATATGCACTGGGTCTCTAACCACAGGTTGGTAGTTCAAACCTACCATCCATTCCTTAGAAACCTTATAAAGGGTTGCTATAAGTCAGAATCGACTCAATGACACGTAATAACAACAACAACTTCTCTAATAAACCCCATAATCATAAGTACTGTTCTGTGTGGCCATTGCAATGACTTATAGGACCCAACAGAGAAGTAGAGAATGTCTGTGGGAGCAGGTCTGACTTCCTGTTGATACCAACTGTGATTCTTTCTCCCCCTCATCCCTGGTCATGCCATTTTGACAGTCCTCAACTGAAAAAAATGAGATCTTATCGCCCGCCTGTTCTACAGTATTTGTGAGGGTCAGTAGACAGAGCAGGGGAACATGTGTGGTGGCTACCTCTCAGCCAGGGTGTTTGCTGGAGGCTCTCATGGGAGGCATGCAGGCTCTGGGAACCTCAGGGGTGGGGCGGGGAGGGGGGAGGATTTAACCATTAGCATACCTCCAGGACTCTCCTTTAGGGACGGACTTTCTCAGGAACATGGGTCCCTGAACAGGAGAGCTGGCTGTGCTGTCTATGAGAGAGCAGCCTGGGAGCTACTGGCCCAGGGCATCCTGGGAGCGCTGAGACCTACTCCCACAGAGGAAACCCAGGCCTGGCCCACAGAGGCCACCAGAGAACAGACACGAAACCCTTCTACCAGCAGAACCTCAGAGTAGTCAGACCTCCTGAGGCAGGCCAGCTGGCAGAGGGCTTTGGATCAAGTTGTTGTTGTTAGGTGCTGGTAAGTCGGTTCCAACTCAGAGTGACCCCTATGCAACAGAGTGAGACACTGCCTAGTCCCAGCACCATCCTCACAATTGTTACGTTTGAGCCCATTGTTGCAGCCACTGGGCCAGTCCATTTCATTGGGGGTCTGGGCCTTCCTCTTCTTTGCTGACCCTCCACTTTACCAATCATGATGCCCTTCTGTCTCCCCTGCCCAAATGGGGTCAATTCCTCACTCTGCCATGCAGCTCAGCATGGCAGACACTGAACTTTATAGTCCAAGGAACTGCAGCCAGCTGTGTGACCTGGGGCAGGTGACCTCACCTCTTGAGGGACCCATTTTTTTAAATTATTATTTTAAATCCTTAACTTTCACACAGCTATCATGAGGACCTAACCAGAGATGTGAGTGGCATGGTTAGAACACCAATTGCCAGTCTGGCTCTTCCACTCACTCCCTGGGTGACTTTGAGCAAGGGACTTCCCTTCCTGTGCCTCAGTGTCCTCATCTGTGAAATGGGAGAACAGTATGGTGTCCTCATCGGGCTTCCTGGGAGCTGAGAACGTCATGTATGTAGAAACCTAACCAGCACTCGGCACACAGTAAGTGAACCAAGAGTCAGTCATTCAACAAAGTCGAGCCCTTTTTGGGTGCTATGAATGTAAGGCACACAAAAAGGACAAAGTCCTGCTCCTATGACACTTACAGCCCAGCAAGGGAGAGGGACATCAAGCAGACGACGCATTGATAAATGCATACTCACCAGTCAAGACAGCACCTCAGAAAGGACAAAAAAGTCTTAGGAAAGAGGGCAACAAATAATAATAATAATAAAAAAAAAACTAACCCAGTTAGAGGCCCAGCCATAGCTCCCCTGGAAAAGAAGAACTTGGGTTAAAATCTGAAGGATGAACAGGGATCAATAAGCGAGGGCGAGGGTGAGAGGGAAAGCAAGACAAATATTCCAGCATGTGCAAAGGTCCTGTGGTAGAAGAGAATGTGGTACATTAGAGGACTGAGACATAGGACTGGAGAGGCTGAAGGGGCTTCCCAGGAAGATCTTGTGGGCCACAAGGAATCAGGCTTTCTCCTGAATGCACCAGGACGCCATTAAAGGGGTTGAAACTGGTGAGAGAGAAGGCTACTTCAGGCAAGTTTAAGAGGGATGATGATGACTCGAACTGGACAGACAAGCAGGTGTCAGGGAAAACGTTTTAGGGTAGGCCCGGTGACAGTGATTCTTATACCCTGAGATAGAGAGTTCTAGAAGGGGACTAAATCCTAAGGGGGTAAGGTGGGGGCAGGGGGTGTGGAAAGAAGGCATAATTAGTTTGGTCTTAGCTATGTTAAAGGAGATCTCTTGGAGATAATGCAAACGTAAGCGGACAGAGATGATCAGATACCCCAGTCTGGAGTTCCACGAAGAGGTGCAGGCTGGAGATGGAAGTATGAGTATTATGAGAACTGAAGTTGTTGTCTTAATGAGCTCCCCTGGGGTCAGAGCATGGAGGAAGCTAAGCAGAGGGTCTAGGATGGAATCTGACAAGTCCCAACACTCGGTGGCTCTCTAGGGGCCTATAGAAGAGTCAGAGGAAGAGTGGGTAGAGAGACGTGTGGTGTGCAGAAGAAGGCAAGAGACTATCAGAGTTTAAGGAGGAGGGTCAAGGAGTAGGAGGACAGAAACATATCACTTGGGCCAAAAGACTGATAGGACACTGGAGACCCTGAAAAAGTGTTTCTCAACTGTGGCGCTCAGTAGGAGCACCTGAGAACAAATCTGTGCTGGGACAGATACTGCCAACATGCTCCTTAGAAGCAAGAATGGTGAGACTTTGTCTCACGTACTTTGCACACGTTATCAGGAGGGACCAGTCCCTGGAGAAGGACATCACACGTGGTACAGTAGAGGGTCTTCTGTGAAAGAAGAAGACCCTCAATGAGATGCAGCGATACAGTGGCCGCAACAATGGTCTCAAACATGGCAACGATGGTGCAGACGGTGCAGGGCTGGACAGCGTTTCATTCTGTTACACACTGAGTCACTGAGACTCAGAACCGACTCAACAGCACCTAGTGACAACAAGAAGGGATCTTTACAAGGACAGATCTCCAGGTCTTTCTCCCACAGAGCTACAGGGTAGATTCGAACCACGAACCCTGTGGTTAACCATTTGGAACTCCTGTAAAATTAAATCATCCAGCTCAATTAAATCATCAGCTCTGGGGTTGGAGCCCGTATATGGGCATTTATAAAATGGGTAGCGAAGGTTGAGACCCCATTGCTGGTGGCGCTGTAGGATAAGCACTGGACTGCCAACCATAAGATCAGCAGTTCAAATCACCAGCTGCTCCATGGGAGAAAAAGGAGGCTTTTGCTTCAGTAAAGATTTACAAGCTCGGAAACCTTATACGGGGGTCACTATGAGTCAGAACGGACTCAAAAGCACCTAACAACAACAAAGGAAATGTAGAGTTTAGACTATTTTTTCTAGACATTTGCCTGGAGAAGAGGAACTGGGAGGCGGCATTTGTTTCTTTTAAAGTAGGAACAACTTTAAATGCTGATGGCAATGACCATGTTGAGAGAAAAAAGCTGTAGAGCATGTGGCTGAGAATGTAGCATGGGGGTAGAACTAAAAAACCAGGCTTGGTCTGGAAGGCTCTGAGGGTAGGAATCAGATAGTAAACTCGGTGTAGACATTTTTGGTACTTCTGGTGAAAGCATTTCATCACCAACACAAGACTCTCCAACCTAGAAAAGCAGAGACAGTGACAGAAGTGATGGCAAT